AGACAAAAGTTTTAACCTAGAACTAATAAAATCACAACAATACAACGTTAAAATCATAGTGTTACAAGATTAAAGTCAGAACATCATGAGAAGTTGTAAAAATTAAAACAAAAAATTTTGGAAAAATAAAAATTGGCATTTGGAGATTAAAGACGTGACAATATAAGATCAAAGATTTAGCATTACAATAATCAAGTTTTGATATTGCAAGAATAAATATGTATAACATATGACAAGAACTATGCAAATAAAATCTTAATAATGCGAGGATGAAATTCTAATATTACAAGCAAAAAGTTGTAACCAGAAATGAAAGAGAACAATATTTAAAAAAAATACTTTTTGACATTTTGAGACTAAAGTAATAAAAATACAAGATGTTGTCGGATTACTATGTTAAATTCATGCTATTACAAGAATATAAACGTAATACAGAATTAAAGTCATAACAACGCAAAACTAAAGCGGTAACAATGCAGGATTAAAGTGTTAACATTGCAGGATTAATGTGGTAACAATGCAGGATTAAAGTGGTAACAATGCAGGATTAAAGTGGTAACAACGCAGGATTAAAGTGGTAACAATGCACGATTAAAGTGGTAACGATTAAAGTGGTAACAATGCAGGATTAAAGTGGTAACAATGCACGATTAAAGTGGTAACAATGCACGATTAAAGTGGTAACAATGCACGATTAAAGTGGTAATGATTAAAATGGTAAAAATGCAGGATTAAAGTGGTAACGAATAAAGTTGTAAAAAAGCAGGATTAAAGTGGTATCAATGCAGGATTAAAGTGGTAACGATTAAAGTGGTAACAATGCAGGATTAAAGTGGTTACGATTAAAGTGGTAACAATGCAGGATTAAAGTGGTAACAATGCACGATTAAAGTGGTAACAATGCACGATTAAAGTGGTAACAATGCACGATTAAAGTGGTATCGATTAAAGTGGTAACAATGCACGATTAAAGTGGTAACAATGCACGATTAAAGTGGTAACGATTAAAGTGGTATCAATGCAGGATTCAAGTGGTAACGATTAAAGTGGTAACAATGCAGGATTAAAGTGGTAACAATGCAGGATTAAAGTGGTAACAATGCACGATTAAAGTGGTAATGATTAAAGTGGTATCAATGCACGATTAAAGTGGTAACGATTAAAGTGGTAACAATGCAGGATTAAAGTGGTAACGATTAAAGTGGTAACAATGCAGGATTAAAGTGGTAACAATGCACGATTAAAGTGGTAACAATGCACGATTAAAGTGGTAATGATTAAAGTGGTAACGATGCAGGATTAAAGTGGTAACAATGCAGGATTAAAGTGGTAACAATGCAGGATTAAAGTGGTAACAATGCGCGATTAAAGTGGTAATGATTAAAGTGGTAACGATGCAGGATTAAAGTGGTAACGATGCACAATTAAAGTGGTAACAATGCAGGATTAAAGTGGTAACGATTAAAGTGGTAACAATGCAGGATTAAGGTGGTAACGATTAAAGTGGTAACACTGCAGGATTAAAGTGGTAACAATTAAAGTGGTAACGATTAAAGTGGTAACAATGCAGGATTAAAGTGGTAAGGATTAAAGTGGTAACAATGGAGGATTAAAATGGTAACTATTAAAGTGGTAACAATGCAGGATAACAATTAAAGCAGTAACAATGCAGGATTAAAGTGGTAACGATTAAAGCGGTAACAATGCAGGATTAAAGTGGTAACAATGCAGGATTAAAGTGGTAAGGATTAAAGTGGTAACAATGCAGGATTAAAATGGTAACTATTAAAGTGGTAACAATGCAGGATAACAATTAAAGCAGTAACAATGCAGGATTAAAGTGGTAACGATTAAAGCGGTAACAATGCAGGATTAAAGTGGTAACAATATAGGATTAAAGTGGTAACAATATAGGATTAAAGTGTTAACAATGCAGGATTAAAGCCATAACAATGCAGCTACCATTACAAGATTATGACCCTATTCTAATTTTCACAATAAAGAAGTCTTAACAAAGACCTAATGCTTAAAACTGTGAAAAATATCCTGAAATCATTGAATTATACAGCCTCTATGTTGTTTCTTTTTATATCTCTAAAACCTTTCAAACACAAAGATGGATGAACTCTTTGAAGAGGTAGGCATGGGCATAAAGCATCCATCTTTATTATTCTATTCACACTTTATATGAGTTAAAGTTGAAAACAGAGCATTTTATCAGGAATTTCTTGTTTTACCTCCCATTGCCTGTGCCACAAAAGAGAGAAAATGCATTTGAGGATCAAAAGGTGAGTTTATGAATGTTACAGTAGCTTTACTGAAACATTCATATTATGATGTTAATTCACTGTGGTTTACAGAAGTAAAACTCATCCTGTTACAGCCTCAAACCTACCTCATGTAGTGTAGTTAATGTTGCATATTAAGACTATGAAGAAGATTCATGGTTTTCATTTTTATTTAAAAAAAATGAAAAAATAAGTTAGATTTTCCTTTGTTTTATTGCCCCCACCTTTTGCTGCAGTTACAGTCGCACATCTAGAGACTGAAATAGTTGCTCTTTCTTTACTGCAAAACAGGTCATGATCACATCAGGTTTTATTGTTGCAACATTTTCTTTGAAGTCTGGACTTTGACTAGGCCGTTCTAAGACATAAATGCTTTAATCTAACCCTTCAGTCTCTATTTGTCTGTAATTGCTAACAGCTTCTCTTCCAGGATCATTTTGGATTTATCTCCATTTATCTTCCCACCAACTCTGACCAGTTCTCTCACCAAATTCCTCCATGGGAATGTTTTTTTTTGTTAGTTTGTTTGTTTGTTTATGCCCATGTTGTGCTATGGGTCAATTGCATACCAGCTCACAAGTATTTTTTTTTTTGGTCTCATCCAACCAGACCACTTTTACATTCAATGTTTGCTATTTTCCCTACAGTCAATGTTGTGCCAATTCATAGTTAAAAAGACCGAGCTCAAAGTTCAGTTCACACAGAGGAAAATGAACCAGCTCACGTATTAACTAAGCTCACCTACCTATAAATTAAGTAGCTCAAGTTCATTCGGTAAATTAAGCTACAATCCCACACAATAGTAACCTCTTATTTCACCCTATAAATGTGCAAACATAATATATAGAAAGACATGGAAAACACTGGATGCAGTCAAGGTTTATTGGACGTGCAGTGGAGCCTTTATTTGAACAATACACTCTGCAAAACTGGCATCAGAAATACCAGCAGATGAGTCTTAATTGCGCAGACTAGTACTAGCAGTAGACAGGTTGATCTGTCATGCTGTTTGCTGTAATAAGTGCCGTAAAACCTGACGTTAAAAAAAATGTAGTTATCAATTGAACGCAAATGTGAGCTGTGTGTGTCGTTCATTATCTTTAGAAAGGACATCGCTCTCGTTCACATTTATTACTTCAAAACCGATGCCTTCAGTTACCCGTTCAGTAAATATATGAATGTCTTCAGTTAACGCCGTTCATTGTATGTGTTCATGCACAACAATGCTACAGCTGTGTCTTTTCAACCTGATGATTCAGGTGTGCGAAAGCATCATAAACCTGCAGGGTAATGAGTTTTAAAGGGGGCACAGAATGATTATATAGGATATTTGGTGCTGGTCCTTAAGGTCTGAATAGGGTGTGTAACATTGGTTGGGCTGAAAATGGCCTATTTGCTGTTCTATGAGCCCTAATGCAAGGCTGGTTATAAGCCCTAGAATAACCCTAGGACAGGTTTTCTTCCTTTTATGGTATGCTCGTGAATATTTAAATGAGCTGTGCGCTGATTGGTTGGTTTATAACGAGCAAAACTGCTGAACAAAGACGCATCATAGCAACAAGCACTCACTCACTGAAACATTCAAATTGTTGATGTGGTAGGGGGACCAGACGTCACCTTTCTACCGGACATGTCCTACTTTTCATACCTAAAAAATGTCCAGGGTGCAATTTCAAAATCATCTGGGATTTTGGTCGACTACAGTGCAGCAAGTGATCGAAACACACCGGGGACTCTGAGCCTGAACTGAGCCGTCAGCTCCGGGGCTGGTCAGGGAACCCCGGCGGACGGGGGCAGGGAGCCGGCGGGGGACGGAGCGACTGAGCACGACCCGCTGACGGTAGCCTGGACACAGGCGGCCCCGTTAAGAAAGAGCTGAAAACACTCCCTCCTACAGGGAATCTGAGGATATACAAACAACTCCCAGTTTGTCTAGAAATTAATTGAACAAATGACCCACTTTGAGTCTTTTTTTATTTTTATTTTTTTAAGCATGTCATAGAACTTTTGAAGTCAGTCACACAGTAAAATCAACTGTTAAAGTTATAGTGGAGGGTTTACGTGAATTTTTGAAAAGACCCGTCCTCTACACTTAAAAAAAAATGCACATGCACAACCCTGTACCCGCTCCAGAGAGAGAACGCCTATTATTAAACACGTGCGAGAGCGTGCATGTCCACGAGCCCATTTCTCCTCGTGCACGCTCTGTTTAAAAATTTCTGTTTCCATTGTTAATACAAGCTTACTTTCCAAAAGAAGATTAGCAATTTTTCCACTATGTCAGACCCACCAAGTAAAAATGGTGACGAGCATGCAGGACGGCCTTATGTAAACATATCACCAGAATAACTGACAATTAGGAGGACCAATTATTTTGACGATCCAGCCGAAAGAAAACCTCTTTTATACCTTTAAACTTTCATTTCTTACAGTTTAATGGTGGTAGTTATTATTTTATTGCGTTATGTTGGGTTCTGCAGTTAGTCCCGAGTGGTTCAAGTCTTGAATAAAGAAATGTTTCATAATGTAACCTAAAGGAAATCCTCGTCCTGCTTAAGGAGGAAATCCAGACCTTTTCATCTGCAGCTTTCATCCGGTTCCAGCTTCTCAAAACAGAAATGCCAACATGATTCAGTTTTACCTCCCTTTCTGTTTCTCTACAAACACACAGATGTCATGATTTGATCTAGAATGTCTCCTTTTCTCCACCAGATGGACACGGAGGCCAGCGACCTGCTGAGCGACCTTCAGGTGAGGCTCAACAACGTTCTGGACGACCTCAGCAGCACGTTTGGGAACAGGTACGCCAACATCACACCTGAAGTACAACAGGGTTCCCGCGGGACCTTAAAAAGTCTTAAAAGGCATTGAATTCTTCAAAATAAAACTAAGGCCTTAATTGGTATTAAAATGTCTTAAATCAGTCTTTCGTAGGTCTTAATTTTTAAAACATCATAAATAGGATTATTTTTATTAGGATTTATTTTTGTAATCTAAATAAAACGTTAAAATTTACCTTTTTTTTTTTTATTTAAAAAAAATAACGGCTCGCCATTATTGGTTCCGTCCCGATAGCGGAACCAATAAAGCGTTGTTGCGGCCGGGACATTTGGGAGATGCACCATTTACTTTTTGTCTGGAAAATATGAGCAAGTTAAATATGAGTTTTCTCCATGGATAAAACCAGGGAACATACATGAGGCTCAGTGGATTTTGTGCAAGAAGTCATTCAAGCTCAGAACGATGGGAATTAAGGCAGTGGAGTCACACATGCGAAGCACGAAACACAAAGCGTCAAAATGGAGTAACAGAGAAACAGCCGGTATTTCTCAGTTTAGTTCCACCGTTGTCTCTGCAACGCCTCCACTTATCACCAAATCAAACATACTAAGAAAACGATAGAAAGAAAAATAGCTGCAAAAAAGACTGCACTGGTTATGTTCTGGCTTTAAAACTGATTTGTTTTGTTCCCTGCTAAAACAAAGTTTGTGAATTCAGTTAAATAATTGTTAAAATATATCTGTCATTTGTGTGTTTTTAGCTTTCTTCCTGTATGGGAAGCTTTTCAAAATTTGAAACATTAGTGCAGTGGTTTATGTTAAAATAAACCTTTGGGTTAAGTTGTCGCAAGCAGGTTTTTGTTGTGTTTCTTGTGAATTTGGTCTTAAATTTTTATTTCAAGTGGCATCAAAAAGTCTTAAAAAGTCTTGAATTTAAGTTGCCTTATGCTGTAGGAACCCTGTACAAGTCAGTCCATTTTTACTTCAACTAGAAGTATTTTCCTTTGATTTGAGAAGGTTGAGACAATTTGCCAAAGAAATAAAAAGTATTATTTTTAGGTAATCATTTAAAAAGCAGCTGCATAATCTTTTTGAGTGCATAATTATCAGATTCCTCATTAAGCTGCTCAAATTAAAGGTAGATGCATGTATCTTCTCATCCAGCTTCCAAAGCCGTATCAACGACTGCATGCGCCAGATGGCGGCGCTGCTGTACCAGATCAAAGGGCCGCTGAACGAGAACACCAAGAACCAGGTGGAGGCCGACTCGGACAACATGCTGCGGCCGCTCATGGACTTCCTGGACGCAAAGTGGGTTTACTGGGATTTCTCTTTAACTAGTCCCAGCTGTTGGTGTTTGGAAGCGCTTGTGAACCCTTGTTTTTTTTTTTTTCTCTTTGGACAGGCTGACTCTGTTCGCCGCTGTGTGTGAGAAAACGGTGCTGAAGCGCGTCCTGAAGGAGCTGTGGAGGATCGTGATGACCAGCCTGGAGAAAACCATCGTCCTGCCCCAGGGAAACGACACCTTTGTGAGTCTGCCGTTTATTTCCCTCGCTGATGTCTGTTATTTAGAGTTGGAACAGATCAGGACTGTTTCTGTTTCACTGCAGGGAGCACAGATCCTCTCAGCTGCTAAAGAACTGGGACACCTTTCCAAGCTTAAGGTATCAGATCTCTGAGATGTTTGAGCTTTTTCGAAGATTTATTGAATCTAACTCCTTGTTTTGATTGGGTTAGGATCATATGGCAGGGGACGCTAAAAGCCTGACCCCCAGGCAGTGTGCCGTCATGGACGTGGCTTTGGATACCATCAAGGTGAGTCCAAAAACGTTGGATTCTGCACCAAATCTTTTTATATATTTTTTTCAGCTTTTTTATTGTCATTACACTGTCACAAGTACAAAACAACAAAATTAACTCATTAACTGAATTTAACGCTTGCCCTTGGGGAGCAGTGGGCTGCCATTGTGCGGCGCCCGGGGAGCAGTGTGGGGTTAAGGGTCTTTGGTCATGGACCCAGAGTGGCAGTCTGTGGGAGTTAGGGGTGTAAATCACTAGCCTGACGTAGTCCTACTCAATTCTAGTCAGAATATGAGTCTGATGCTGCTCCATAGAGCTGTGATTATGGGGCGTGTTTCGAATGAACCAGGAAAAAAAATGCCTCTACACTCAATTGGATAGACCTACAACCAATAAGAGCAACGGAGTGCGTGATGTATGTTAAGCGAGGCATAGTTGTTGTCAACAAAAATCAAAGCGTGCAGTTGCACGCCTATAATAAGAAGATGAGCCTTGATCGCGTTTCTCTGTTCCTCTTTTAAAATAAGTTTGCTGTCGATATCTTCTAGAACAGACCTAATAGCAGAATCTACTCACCTCAACTCTCCAGCGGCAGCCATTGTTGTTGTCACCCAAGCGCGCTTTGGTCACATGGTTGATTACGTTACTGTTGATCATCTGTCCATCATCATATAAAGCCCGCCCTGACAATTTGATTGGCCTGCCAGATATTGTGCGAGCATACTTGCGCTACTATTGAGCAATGCCAGACCGAACTTCCCGACCACAAACCTTGTGGGCAGGACTAAGTTCGGAATGGCACCCAGGCTAGTAAATCCCATCCATCATGGCGATTCGATTCATTATCTATTTACTCACCCAACGATTCAATTATTTTCGATACTCAGGAATACACCACAATACGATTCGATTAATTGGTTCAATTTTTTTTTTTTTAACCTTACAGGTTAGACAATGTTTGAAATTTGAAATAAATCAATGAAAGCTGTAATATGCATTTTATTTGAGAAACAATAGCAAATAACAGAAGTAGAAAACTTGCACTCCACCTATTCCTATTAAAACCTCATCCACTGAAAAATTATAATACCCCTGCGTTATAGATTCTGAAAGGCTTTGCATCAAAAAATACTGCACAAAATTAGTGCAATGAGCGCAATTCGATATCTCGGCTCCAGACGTCCCGCCCCCTCCACAGACGCTCCGCTGCACCTCTCCCAAATTGTAGCTGAGCGCAGACAGCGCCGCAGACAGGAGGCCGGCTTGTTTTGTTTTTATGACCGAAATTGCGGAAAACAACTCGTGAAGTTTGACCCGCTAGAAGAGCGAGGTGCTCAAGAACACTGGGAGCCTTTTTCCACCTGGATCTCGGCTCTTTTTGGCCCTCATGTCCTTCCGTCGTCGGACTAAACTCGCCCCCACTTCCTCGCCGCCTCGGCTGTATCTAGACCCACAGCGTGTAGCACAGACCACGCTTCAATATTGAGCATAAATCAAAAATGTCTGCGTCAAGCTCACTGCAGCACACTGCTTTAAGAGTATAACCAGGAAGCGAGGTAGGAGGGCAAAATAGGTTTAGCGCCACCGCAGCACGGGAGGGAGAATTACGCCCAGGAGCAAACGGATAAAAATAGACCGGAGGGAAAAAAAACATGAATAGATTATCTTGCGGACGTGTCGATGCATCGAATCGTCGGCTGTTGGATCGATGCATCGATACAAAACGATTATTATTTACACCCCTAATGGGAGCGGGGCTTGAGCTCAGAACCTCAGGATTCCAAGCTCTATGCCCTTACCACTAGGCCGCCACTTCCCCATGAAAATCTTGGAGAAAAGGTCTAATCATCTGATGAAAAAACATTAAGCAGCAGCCTGGAAAGCTAGAAAATAAAAGATTCTGTATTTTTTACCTCCACAAATAAAATAATAAAACTATTCAGGGTTTATTTATCTATAACTACTGGCTACCATTTTATAATTCCCTCAACATTGTACCTGTTTACAAGCAGCATCACTAATCTATTTATATGATCAGTAAGTGGATTAAATATGTAATTTACCTGTAAAAGAAACGCCCTACTTTATTATTACAGAACGTTACTATAGGAACAAAGATGTAGGCGAAACAGAGCTGTACGTTACAACTTTTCAGTTATTGTAAAGTTGTAGTTGATTTTTATTAAGCTTTTATTTCTGATTTTCGATTCTGTTAAAGTTTTTCAAATATTTTGGGAAATGCTTAGTTTCAGTTTGGTTTTCATTAGCCTTAGTTATTATTTACTTAGCTTTAGTCTCTTATGTATTATGACTCACATGAAGAGAAAAACTTAAAAAAAAAGATATAAAATCCTAAAAAGCACAAAGCTTAAAATTCAATTCAGTTTATTTCTATGGTGCCAATTTTACAACACTTCATCTCAAGGCAGTTTACAGTTCACCAGATCATCCAGTCAGATTGATTTAAAGTTTTCTATCTAAGGAAAACTAGTTGACCGCATCAACTCATTGACTTGAAGGTAATCCCTCACACTAAGCATGCTTGTAGCGACAGTGGAGAGGGAAAAACTCCCTTTTAACTGGAAGAAACCTCCAGCAGAACCAGGCTCAGTGTGAGTGGCCATCTGCTGAGGCCGACTGGGGTTCAAGGAGACAGAAGCAGACACAAAAAGCAACTGTAAAAGGCGACCCCGTCCAGGAAACACACAGCCAGGCAGACGAGCTCCAAGCCATCTCCCGCGTCAGAGGATGAAGATAAAACATCCAGGCAGTCACAGTGAGAGAAACAGGACCACACTGGAAAAACAGGCTGCTCTCCAACATCTATAAACAAAGGTGTTGATGGCAGCAGCACAGCTCATATTTCTCTCCAGCTCAACATTAATGACCTGACCGTCGTACCTTCCATCTTCTGGTGCAGCAAAAAAACTCCAATGAATGCATTATGATAAAGAATAAATAAAAAGTTAAGCAAATTCTCTTTTAAAATTCAATTTGTTTAAAAAAAAAAATAACATACTTTCTGAGCTGACTAGGGCTGCAACAACGAATCGATAATATCGATAAAAATCGACTTTTAAAAGCGTTGGCAACGAATTTCATCATCGATTAGTTGTGTCGCGCGATTATTGCGTCATCCGCCGCGCCGTCATCACTGCCTCTTGACTGAAAGAGGAAGAAAAAAAAATATGGCAGAGCGAGTCAGCGCCGCAGGTGCAGTGTTGCCAACTCAGCGACTTTTCGGACCCCTCCAGCGACCATTTTTCAAAAAGGCGACTAGCGACAAATCTGGCGACTTTTTTCGGTGTCACTGGCGGCTTTTGGAGACTCTTAGTGAAAGTATGTATCATTCCTACTCTGCCGTGGGGCGCCTCCCCCACCCCAACCGCGTTTTCCCGCAGGAGTCCCTCTCAGCGCTGCAGTCAGAGCCTCAGCGTCCAGACTGCAAATGAAGCGCGCATGCACCGGGATTGACGGCGCAAATTGATCACAATAATTAAAATAGCCTGCGCTTTGTAAAGCGAAAAAAGTGATAACATGCAACTTTTTTCAAAAGAAATTAACATGGCACGGAACCACCATGTTTGTTTGGTTTTAAAGTGGGGAAACGTTACGTTAGTTTCTCAGGTAGCTCATCTGATGCTTTCCTTACCGTGTTAGTAGGTTACAGACAGTGATAAGGTTGGCTACTTATTGTGGGAATGCTTATGCATTCCCACTTATTGTTTTTCTGTTTTTCTTTATTATTATCAAGTGGGAATGCTTATGCATTCCCACTTATTGTTTTTCTGTTTTTCTTTATTTATCAAGTGGGAATGCTTAAGCATTCCCACTTATTGTTTTTCTGTTTTTCTTTATTATTATTATTATTATTATTATTATTCCGTACGTTTTTGGTCGTTAAACTACTTCAACAGTTTTCAGCCCACTTCAACAAATTTGGTATCAAAACGTTCAGCTTCTTCAGGAGAATGATGCTATATCTTTTGGTAAAGATATTTCTTGTAGTTTTCGCGATATTCAGCTTTTTCTGCGATTTTTGGCCCCATTGAAATGCATGTAGAATTCTCAGATTTCAGCAAAATTCAGCAAAAACTTCAACTACTTTGACCTTTAACTACTTCAGCATACTTTCAGCTAGAAACACCATTCAACTTTTAAAATGTTTCCGTATCTTTCTACTATTACTGTTTAACTCAGCTTTTTGCTAACTTTTACAGTTTTACTTCAGTGAAGCTTCAAACTTTAAAAGAAATTTTAACGATTTTCAGATTTATAATGGAAGTCTATGGACGGAATTCTTCAACTGTCAGAGTGCGTGCTCTAGCTTTTGAGCTGTTCTGGTTTTTCCGAACAAATTCTTCTCACTCCCTCATTTTTCACTCAATTGAAATAAATTATACATCAAAACGTAGGGATTTTTGTCAGGATTCAGGAAATGTAACCCTCATTTGTGTGGCATTTACGGTTTTCCGACAGTTTGGCCCAGACCGTGAAGAAGTCCACACTTCCCCAATAGAAATCCAATGAGAGCTCTCTGAAAATCCGAACTGAAAATTCAAAAAAACAGACTTTTTCGTATCGCTCCCATTCGGGAACCGTTCGACGTAGCAACATGAGCCTTGTGGAAGTTGTTCCTCAGACCTTCCTAGCACTCACATTGAAGGAAGTGTGTCGATATCTTTTATCGTTTAGCTAGGAAAAAGGTTTGTTCGGGGGTAACAAATCTGTCCGAACCCCAAAATCAAGATTTTGACAATTATACACTTTTTTACATCGTCACCACGCCTAGACGAAATATTGTAGAAATATAAAAGTTACAACAGTTGTAGTCCAAAAATGGCTGACGCTCACGGTAAAAGAATTTTTTGAATACCTAATACGGTTTTGGCTCACCGCTCGTTTGTTCGGAGGGAAAGTTTTGCTTTTGAGAGTTCTGCTCTACCATTGAGCTGCATGTTAATCAATGAGACCAGCAGGATTTCTAAAACCTTTAAATTCCTCCTTCCCATTAA